GAGTCACTTGGCGAAACATCTCGAAAAGGAAAATGTTGAACCAGTTTAATTTGCCTAACTTTCTGACATTTTTGTTCTATGCCACTTCACCATCACTCCGGTCACTATTAATCATCATTGCTTACTTTCTTATCATGATTATCATTATACACTCGTATTGGCCGTTGTAAAGTTCTAACTGGGTTTTGCTCATGGGCTCTGACCCATAGCAATTTGTTCAGAATGCCTTTGCTTGCTTTTTCGTCCTCTGCTTCTCTCGGCACCCTGAAAAGAAAGTGGGCTGTGCCGCTTCTGGATCTCGTTACTGTTGTCAGTTGCATCGTTTGCTGGCTGGGCTTCAGAAGTCAATCGGATGGTAGCTAACGTTTCATGCATATGTGTACTAGCTGAATCTTATAAGGTTGCCATTACCGTGTTTCCGTTTATAGTTCTTAGTTAAATAAAATCATCTTTATCGTCGTAATCGCTATATGCAAATATTCGTTAGGAACGTTTGGTTGTGTTTTGTTGTCGTCCTTGTTGCTTGATTAGTGTGAATGATCTATGCTTTAACTTTTATAGCATCTGGTTATATCTCTAAATATTTCCCTCCCTCTCCCTCTTCCCCTCTCTCTCTCTCTCTCTCTCTATATATATATATATATATATATATATATATATATATATATATATATGTATTACATCAACACGTTTTGCAGTATCTTCATGACATCATTTATGTCAATAACATTCATCACTTACGAGTCGAATCATCGTATCTTACTATCGTATTAGGTTTTATCTCGGTAATAATAATAATATTCTTCTAAATTCACGTGTAGGTTGATGTACTAATAAGAATTGTTTTTCTCTTCCTCTGAAGATGTTTTTTAGATATATTTACTTGCCTGTGTGATGTGATATTGAAGGATATTTGCACGCTTTCATCTGTCTTCTTCTTTGTTTCCACGACGAGCATCGTATGTATTTAGACTCTGTTATTTTTGTTTCGATTGTTGTTTTTTCTGCTACTGCTCTTTTTTTCATGTTATTTTCTGTGTTTCATTTCTGTGCTTAATCCGTTTGTTTGCTGTTCAGGTTTGTAAATTGAAAGTATCAAGACTATCACACAAGTGGTATCATTGAATGTGCGCGGGGTTGTTCCAGTTCTATCCATTGAGCTCCAGGATTCAATTGACAGACGAATATCCAATGATTACACCTATACTCGCTTCTTACTTCTATTTCCTCTCTCTATCTCTTATACATATGTACAGTCTATGGCAAATGTTTTTGCACACACACATATATATATATATACGTATCTATCTATCTATCTATATATATATATATATATATAGTGCTTATGAGATCGGTTATTCGCATTTATTTCGGGAATAGTAAACTTTTGTGTGAGAAAGTGTGCAAATATGATTAATCCCTTAAACAGAGGATGCCTTCGTGTGGATTCTCCTAGATACTATTTTTTGCCAGTCTATATGAAAACGGTTGTCCAAAATCAAATTAGTGGACATTTTAATTTTAAGCAAAAAGTTTTTTTCAAAGTCGTTATTCTTTACTAATTCAAAGGCTTTGGACAATTTTGGCTTCTGTGCGACCATAAATATCTCGGAGTGTTTTCGCCATATTACTTTTACTATGGCTATAGTCTACAGCCCCTTACTAGAAAAGCGATGCGTATCGAAATGGTTACCTGTCTTAATTATCCTAAATCAGCTTTTGGTAAAATTTACTTATGATCTTCATAATTTACTTTTTGATTTTTTTTACACAACGGGTAATCACGTATACCGATTTTCATGATATCTCTTAATAGTTAGTTTTAGAAAAAAACAACGTATAAATTTAAAAAAATAGAAGTTTTTGAATTTTTAAAAAACTTTCCGAAATTTTAAAACATATTTAGAATTCGACACAGATTACCAGATGTAGGATAGCGTGTGGCCAGAAAGATGGAAATTAAAAAAAAAAAGTAATTTTTTCTCAAATACATAATTTGAGAGAAGTAGAATTAATAAGCATTTCAGCATGTGTTGCAACTATTCTTTGTCTAAGCACAGAGAGAGCTATGAAGCTATAGTGAAGTCTGGCAGTAAATACAAGCGCAGATGATTCCGTTGGTTAAAAATTGGCCAAATAAACTAAGAAAGCTTCGGATTACTCAAATAATACTGAATCTGGAGAAAAATGTGTGGCACTATGCTTTGATTAAGACTAAGGGCTTTGACAAGTAAGACAGAAATTTGCCAATTTTTCAGTTGACATTTCGAAAAAAATCTAAAAGTAGTACGGCTTTCGGCTAATTCTGTTTTGACTTTTTTAAGCCACAAATACCATACAAATAAACATCAAAGGTAAACAAGTAAGCGCCCTGTTACTGTATGTATTTGTGTGTGAGCTAATATTGACTGGATCCCGCGTGATCACCTGTAAAATACCGTGGTACCATGTTCTGAAATAGAGAGGTTTTAAGTCGTATTCATGGACCTCGCTATATTATTCTGCACTGCGTTAAAATAGTTTGGGTCAATAGAAAATCTAGCTGTGGTGGGTAATTTCTAAACAAAAAAGTAGGTAATAAATAGGACCCAAACAGAAAGCGTTTTGCAACCAATTCATCAATGTATCGTGCCTAAGAGGCTGCTACAAAATGGCCTAGTTAAGGTTATACAATATTCATCAACAGTATAACATCAACAAATACAGTGTTTATTATCGTGCTCTGCAACAATGAGTTTACGATCGAGTGCAAATCTGAATGCAATACAAATCGAATCGGATATTCTGCATTTATACATTTTGTGGGAAAATTATTTTTTGCTTTTTCCTTCTTCAATTATCTTACGTCGTTCCATGTATCCTCTTTTTGTTGTTACGTTAGTGGTGGGAGGTCTGTTCCTTTGTCCTGATCCTATTATCCAATGATATTTCTATTAGTTATCATTTGGCTAGTTTCCATGCGTCTAGGGTCTCTATGAAACACGTATTTATTGAGTACGCGTGTGTCTTCGTGATGAGATTAAATGACCTTTTCATGTGTGTATGAGCGACAGATGTCGTCTGAAATACGTCGTCTGCTTTTCTACGAAAAACACGACACAACAGGCTAGAAGTATTTTGGGCGGATATCTGCACATACGTGTAGGACTGAACGAGCGAATCGTAGTGCCGGGAAATAAGCATATTGTTGTCAATTTTGCGGCCTAGTTAAAAGCTACCGACGATCGCTCAATTAATTTCGAAATTACCGTGGCTTGCTTTTCGTGAAGACTACATAAAACAGCATTGGAAGTCGTCGATTATTGTAGATGTTATACTATGAATACCTGAAGTCGGTTATCAAGGATCTCAATTGTTAACTTGATTATCAAGAATCCGAGGGTTGTTGGGCTTAACGCTCACGACCGTCAATAAAATTCTGTTAGCCTAAAGTCATCGACTGACTAGTTTTGTTTTCAAATGTAAGTTCGTTATAATATTCTGCCGTAGAAGCTGCTTCCGTTAAAAAAATCTAGAAAAAAAATAACGCAACTCTGTGTATTCTCATCCAGCTGTAATGCTGTGCTTCGTCGAAAACGACTCATTCCCAGAGACAGACTGATGATGTGCGTGAAGGCGCCTTATTTCGAATCTACCCCATAGCACACGAAGTTGAAATAGTGACCTTCCTTTGATGCAGTTGTGTGCCATATGTACCTAATGTGTGCCGTAATTGGCAGAAGATTTTATTTATCGATGAATTTATCGGTACACTTATTTTCAGTTTCTAGATACTGATAAATAAAAACAATTTATAGGTAAAGCCTCATTTTTGACTTTGCCCAAAAAGCGGCCAAAAAAGCCAACCTCACCCAATAGAGAATATTTCACTTTGCATTTTCTTACTTTTGTATTTTAATTTGAGTATCTTAGACCGTGCACAGTGGGCGCCCGCGAACGTATCGACTTCCGATGTGTACAACAGTACCTTAATAATATAATTATACATAAGATAATGTATAATTTTTTGTATATATCTTGTAAATGTGTTTTTTGTGAATTGTACTTGACTCAGTGGAGATTTCTTCAGCTCTTTGCTCCATTTGTAAGAAGACACTAGATAGCAGGGACCTCTGTTAAAGTTTCAATAATATTACTAATAGGAGAGTGCCCCAAAGGAGCCATTGACAGCTCTAAACAAAGAACCACATGATAAGGTCAAAAAAAAATCATAGATCCCAGCCATCTTGTCCATTGATGCTGCTGACCCGTCCCTCCAATGAAAAGGGGTCACCAGACAATCACCGTTAATACGGTCGTTGCCACCACAATAACAAGAACATAGCTATCGTATGCTGGCGATATTACTAGCAATTTTTTCTTTCCTTCATTCTTTTATCATTGACTTTTCTTGGCGGCAGCTGTGTTTGCCGCCGCCCTTCGGTCGGCCTGTTCCATACGGCAATAGTAATAATAATAATAATAATACGGGTTATAGTAGCAGCAGCTAATAAAGGTTTCGGAAAGCGAGGTGGTGGCGGGTCGTTCCTAAGCTTCAGATGAGACAGTTATTCGAAGTTAGTACTTGAGATTTTAAAAAAATATCTTGTCGGTCTTTTTCTTCGATCAACTCGTACCGCATGGTATATATATATATATATATATATATATATATATATATATATATATATATATATATATATATATATATATGCTTTTTTGTCGTCAACGCGGCATCAGCGTTGTTACAAGAAGAAGCAGATGCTCTA